AAAAATTTTGTCCAAAACACCAATGAAAAGTTCAGAGTATTCTCAAAATGCACTAAAACCGAACGGCGAAACTTCCACAATGCGACAGAGCTATGTACGTATACATACACGTTGTACATATTCAGAAGTCTTCATTGCCTTGTGAGGAAATCATATACGGCATCCACAATACTGGTTCCCACCGCACTGCCGACAAAGTAATAGCAAGAGAAGACAGGTCAAGAGCCAGACCACAGCTCCGAATTCCACATGCACAGCCGCAATGGTGTGACTGGCAGCGTAGTATGGTAGTTGTCCCATGGAGGACGAAAGATCCAAACCTTTCAAATAGCGTCACCTCAAAACTATCAAAATCTCTGATGAATTCACAAAACTTGGTCTTCCTCTCTCTGTAGTTTCATGTTGTGGTTCACGAGTATGTTTTTGGTAAGACTGTGGCCGGCACACACTCGATGGCCAGTACGTGCATACTCCATGACAGTCCATCCATGCACGGTCATGTGTTTTCGTGTCCTTCCTGGGTCTCTTCGCATGTTGTGTGGAACAGAGTTTTTTTTTTTCATATCCAGTTTGCACTGGGCTGGCTAAGGCTCCCCCCTACTATGGCCTTCCACTTAGTCTGGTCCCTCGCGTCTTCTGCACTTACATTCACCAGTCGCATGTCGGCAGACACAGTCCCCTGCCAGGTCTTGCACAGTTGGCCGACTGGTCGGGGCCCCTCCACCTCCAACCTCGTACATCTCGTGATCCAACACAGGCAGCATCCTTCCGCACCACGTGACCATACCATCTCAGTCTGCTCCTCCTCACAACTTTCCTGATCTCTTCCACACCAACTCTACGCCTGAGCTCCGCTGGAACATGATCTGGAACATGGTCTGATCTTCATCTCTGCCATCTCCATCGCTGTCTTGTGATCCGCTTTCAATGGCCATGTCTCACTTCCATACACCATACAGCTCCAAACGCAGGCTGAGTATACCTGTCCTTTCATCTTCAGGGGTGGCAACCTTGATGTTAAGAATGGCGCCAGCTCCGTGAACTTTGCCCTACCATTCCTCACATGTGCTGCCACCTTGGCGTCTGCTCCTCCCTCCTTGCTCAGCATATCACCCAGATAGCAGAACTGAACAACACAGTATCTCTCACCATCAACCTCTAGATCTTCCTCAATTTCCTCTGGCTATGGAACCTCTCCCCGGCAGCGCCTGCAAGTAAAACTTGAGCTGGCCGCCTGCAGACTGCCCCTCACTCCACTATGTCTCCTGTGTGCCCCTTTTGGCATGCTGTGCACTGGACAGAGTTGGGGGCTACTTCTTTGCTACATACACCACGTGACCATGCCCCATGGCTTGTCACATGCCCCCTGCTCACCCGAGTAACCATCACCTTGGTCTTTCTGGCCTTTATCTTCATACCCTTCCAAGCTAAACTTACCCTCCATGCCGCCATCTTGGCCCTCAGCTCCTCTCTGGTCTTTGCCATAAGGACAACGTCTGCGTACTGCACCTCGCAGGGTAGCCCTCCTCTCTCCTCAGATGACACCACATCCATCACAGGCGCAAAGAGCAGTGGGCAGTGCACTGAGCCCTGGTGCACCCCAAGATTTACCTCAAAGCTCCTGTTGTGAAGTCCTCACAACTGTTTGCCCCTGTGTACAGCAACATCACCATTCTCACCTACCACTCCTCAACCCCAATCTTTCTCATGGCCCACCTCAGCACCTCCCTGGGGACAGGATCAAATGCCTTCTCCTTATCCACAAAGCCACAAGTCAACTTTTTGCACTAGATGTTTTTCCCTCGACTTGACGCACAAAAAAATGGCATCTGTTATCTCTTTGCCTGGTATAAAGCCGAACTACATGTCATCAATATTCCTGGCCACGGAGTCTCGCTTCAAGTACTCTCCCAGTCTTTCATGGTTTGCTCCAGTAGCTTAATGGCCCTGAATGAGCCACACTCCAGTGGGTCCCTTTCCCGTGAAGAGTGGAATCAGAATACTACTCTTATCTACTCTTATCTGTTCATCTTCACGATGGTGTTAAACAGTGTGGTCAGCCAAGCCACAGTTCTGTCACCAGAAGCCTTCAACATCTCCACCATAACACCAGATGGACCGCCTGATTTTCCTGACTTGGTGAGAGGTATCGCTTTGGCCACCTCCTCATTCCGATGCAACAGCTGGGTTCCTGAATAATGTCGCACTCAACGTTACCGTCCCGCACATCCTCCACATTCATCAAACCCTCAAAATACTTCCACCCCACCTCCCCTCATGCACTCGCTGTCAACAACACCATCTGCTTTGTAATCTGGAAAAAATGTCTCCTCCCTCCTCACTCCTTTGCCCCTCTGCAAACTCCTTCCTTTTCTTCTCTATCTGCCTCCGAACCTGATTACCTCCAAAGAACAAAGCAATGCCGCTTCTCCTCCATGAATCTCGCCACCCTGTCATTTTCACCTCCATGTCTGCAATGGCAGACCTCTCGTCCACTTGCAGACATTCTTGGTGGGCTTCCTGAAGATATCCTGCATGATACTCCACCTCCCATCTGTGCTCTTTGCCACCTCTTCCGCACCCGCCACCTCCTCCACAAGCTCCTCCAGCCTTCCTCTAAACTGTTCCCATGCCTCTGGTCTCCTAAAAGGCCACACCCTGAGCTTTGGCATATACCTCCGCTTCCTCTTCACCTATCTGCCTCTCCTTCCCAGAACCATGTCTCCAACAAGATGGTGTTGTGACACGCATTCTTCCTCAGCAATGACCTTCACATTCCTCACTCGGGCATGGTCCCCCCTTCCTCATAATGAGGAAGTTGTTAACCAAATTACTTGTGGGTGGAGAGAAGCAATGAGTGACATGCACCATGACCCCAGGCTGGATTCAAACCCGCAACCTGCAGCTTTACCCACCAACTGTGAATCGAATGCTCTTAACCACAAGGCCACAGCACTCTCATCCTTGTGCCAAAACCCATGCCACCATGGACACCATCATCGCCATCGGATGCCAATCCTACATGCCCATTCAGGTCACTGCCAACCACCACCAGCTCACTCTGAGGTAACCTAGCGACCGCGTCAACCATCTGATCCCAAAAGGCATCCTTGTCCTCCAGAGATCTTCCAGACTGTGGGGCATGAGCAGAGATGTGTTGACGATCCTTTTACCCAGGAGCAGCTTCAAAATCAAAATCCACTCGACACTGATATCACATGCACAGCCCACCTCTCGGCTACCAGTATCCTGACCCCACCACTCCCACCCTCCGTACCTTTCCAGAAAAACGTGTACCTCTTTCCCACCATTTAAAGCCAACAAGCACTCCCACCTCTCCATCTCAATGACGACTGGACTCAGTACACATCTACCGTCCTCCTAACCATCATATTTACTACCTTTCCAGAAGTCTTATACATGCTGCCAATGTTCCAAGCCGCATACCTGAGGCCCTCTGATCCACTCTTGTCACTAATATCTTATCAGGTTGTGAGCTGTTATTTCCGGCTGTGGATCAGCCTCCTCCACCCTTTTGTTTGACATAGGCTGGTGAAGTCGCCCATAGGGCACTCAAGGCTGACTTGCCATATCTCTGACTTGCCATTATAGAAGAATATAATGCAAAGTTTGCAGTGGGGAGCAATGATCATACTCTGATCCGTGACCATACAGATGTAGAGGTCAGCGCTTCCTCAGCATCTAACACACAACCGATGGAGCCCATAACCACCCATGAATGCTGTTGATGGTGTTGAACAGCAGCTGCCTCTGCTAGCAGAACCAGGAAGAGACACCTGGACACTGAGGGGGTAGATTTCCCCTAACAGACGGAATCTACCATCTGGTTCTTCTGCCGGTGGGTCAACACTGTTGCCCGGGGTGTGGCCACCAGTATGATGGAATAGGATGGTAGTTACGTGGGTCATCAATGTTACTTCTTTGTGAATTTGGGTAACTTTAGCCCTTTTCCACTTGTTTACACTGGTTTGTCATTCTCACCAAGTGATTTATTAAGAAGACCACTCAAATCAGTACTGGGAGCAGCTATTTTGCATTAATTTAATGGCATTAATTCCATGGCTTTGGTAACTTTAGACAATTACGTTTTTTCAAGACAAAGCTGCAATTGATTACTGTAATGAAGAAATTTAGTTCTTAGAAGAAGTAAGACAGGATTTTGTTCACTCTCAAAATTGAAATCAGTCAAGGGGATTTATGGGAATTTCCTTATGTTTTTTTTTGTGATTTGGCTTGGCTATAACCATTTTGAAACGTGCTCACACACTTTTGACCTAAATGGAATTTGTAGTTCCAGACAAGTTATGTTAACAAAAGAGAAGTGTATCAAAATTAAGAAATCATTTGATGACGTCGTCACATTTGATTTTTTAGTCTTCCTGGAGTTTCTTTTGACCTCTCTATTGACATTTGTGATGAGTTAATGTCTCATGTACATTTAAAAAATCTCACATTTGATGTTATCGTGATGTTAAATTGTACGCATAGGGTTGATGTTGATGCAAAGTTTCATGTTAATCTTATGTGGAACCTTGAAGGAAGGTTGCAGGTGAAGATAGAAAAACCTACAGAGAAACATCAGTTGAGATTTCTTGATCACTTAACACATGTACTGTATTAGCCAAGACAGACATGCTCTTGTCCATTTAAGAACAAAACCATCCAGATATTAACTGATAGACTAATGCAGTGCCTTCTCAAAAACTTAAACAGACAAAAGAGTGAATATGGGACCAAGCTTACATGTACATATACATCAATTTTGATTATCACCTCAAAATTGTAGTGTAAGGTTAACTCACTGACTCCCTGGGCATTGTAAATCAACCTGATTCAACCATTGAATTTTTACTGGGTCTAAAGTATTCCACAGTTTTCTCTTTTAATCGTGCAGATAAATAGAATCAGTTAACCCTGACTACTGGGATGATTCAGTGACTGGCTGGAATAAAATGAATTTTATGCTCTTTGATTTGCAGCCCAATAAAGGAAAATCAGAAACGAAAGATCTCAAATGTTTCTGTGCTGAGAGTGAGCGGTCTAGGCAGTGCTGGCTGGCTACCATGCGATTTGTCAAATATGGGTCATTACTACGGGAAAACTACAACAGTGCCTTGCACAGGACAGCAAAGACTAAAGCAGCTAACTCAAACAGTGCTATGAAGGTAGGCGGGATTCCCTTAAAGTTATCTTTCCTTATTGGTACGAGATGTTTGGTTTTTGTTGTAAGTGGTGTTGTTGTTTTGTGCTTAGAGTTTGAGGTCCACAACATCAGTTTACACTTCTTAAACCCCTATTTTTTTAATGCTTCCGTACCAAAATAATTGTACGTGTGAGAAAGAGAAAATTGGAAAAAGGTATGCACAGTCAGCAAATACAGTAAAATCATGATAACTCAAAGTCAGTTAACCCTAAAAGAGCTGGGGGCATGGGGTGGAATTGTCCCCTCCCCCAGTTGCCAATATAACTCGGCTCTTTGAGGGTCAAGTCAACTCTGTTCATCTCAAAGCCATTTTACATTCCTGCCAAAAGAATAGACTTTTATGTACAAAATACGTCCAGGATTCGAAATACCCAACCACTACGTACTTTAACGTTTTAGTGACGTCCATTCAAAATTACCACCATGGAACTGCTTTGAAAAGTGTACAAAGATATGCAAGTCAAGGGTTACAAGTTACACTGCCAAGTGTGCTTCATTTTTCCACACCAGGATCATTTTTATGCTTGAGGCATGCTCTATGCATAAACCATCCCTAACAATAAATAGGTTTTGAGCTAGCCTTACTGATACTATGAACCCAGTTGTAGCCCATGTGCAGGCAGTCTAATCATTTACTTTGCAGCCCCCAACAAATGTGACCAAGCATACCCAGGTGAAAACAAAGCCCAAGTAGGCACTGCACACTATGCTGTAAACCCCATGAAAGATTTGCCACACGAACGTGCAGTGTTAAAGTGGTTTGTTTATTTATCAATAGAAAAGGAGTTTTTTAAGTAACTGTGTATGAAACTATATACCATTAGAATGAATAAAAAGAAACAAATGATCACAAAACATAGCTACTGTGGAGCGAGTTGGTTTTGATTATTTACATAGTACATACAGGCCTTTGTGTATAATGACTCCAGGACTTGGGAACATTTATATGCTCGAAATTTGGATATGTCAAATGTTTGCATCCATTCCCCCGTGGTTAAAGTTATTAAAACATTACTGTATAAATGTTGGTCCTATAATATCATTCCAATAAAATCCAAATAATGGCTTTTAATTTTCTTGAATAAGTCAATGTAGGGGTAAAACTCCTAATTAAAAAAACAAAATGTCAATCAGCAGACGACTGTTTTCTTTATTGTTGAAAGCCAGTTTGAAGGCTTGTCTCAACAAATCCTATGCTGTCCTTCACAGTTGTTGAACTTTATGGATCAGTTCATAAGGGTCATATTACTTCCAAGACAGCATTATGGATAAGCTGCCATAGTAAAGTTTAAATTTACGGCTAATGCACTACCTGGTGAGTTAATATATAATGCCCTTTATGTTTCAGTTTATAACAAAAAAACATAAGCCATTTCTCCACTAGTGCCCTTTTTTTCCTAGTGAGCTTGCTGCAACTCATTTGGTCTGCAATATCAAAATTTCTTTGCCGAACATTGTACAGCTGTTGCCACTTCTTTCGGCTAATTGTGCATGTGGTTGTACAGTAAATGTGACCTTAGACTGAATGATCATCTGTTGAGATGACTGTTTGACAATAATGTCTATTGAAGCCACAATAAAATGTGAAAAAGTACTTTGTATTCCTTACTATTCAGTGGCAGATTGAGGCTCACTAAAGGGCCCATGAAAATCATTTTTATTAGTTATAATTGAAAAGTGTATGTATTTAAACGATATCCAGAATCTAAAAATTGTTGTCTTGATTAATAAGTTGGAGAAAAAATTGAAAATAGGTTTTGGCAAAACACCCCCCCCCAAAAAAAGGTATCTCATTAACATAGTAAATATACGTTTATCTGTGACGTACATTTGAGAAGAAACTGTCCCCACCGCTAGCTTGTCAATGCTTCTCTTGGACCAAGTTCAGAAAATTCAGTCCAGTTTTTGACTGCTGGCAACAATGGCCCGGAGGTCTTCATGGACCCTTTAAAATACAGGAATATGATGGGACAGAGGAGGCCATGGTTCTGCATTCACCATTGTTTAGATTTATTGAACCTGTGTCCTCTCTTGTTACCTTTTCACACATCAATCAATTTTTGTTCCGCTCATGATCTGTAAACTTTATGAAACCGATTTCTACTTATTGAACAGCCTTCATCACTTTCCAATTAATTAAATTTGTCAACAAAAAACAAACAACAGCAACAAAAAGGATTTCAGTGATCCACAATCAATTTAGATCTAATTTTCTTTAGCCAAAGAGATTCATCAATGACTAATAATGTACACCAAACATCCTTGCATTTTAATTTCAAATCAAAACAAATCCGTGAAAAAATACCCAAAAGATTGTTGATCTAAATTCATCAACCTTCCAAACTTTCTTTCTGTGATGCTTTCACTTTTGTTCTTTTAACCACTTCTACTTTTGGTTGAGGGTTGTTCTAGTGTTAAAAATATTTTGCTACATTTTTCCTGTTCCAGAACTTTTAAGTTTACCCCCATTTTGGGAATACATTTTCGAGTTTGAAAATGGATTTTTCGAATAGCAGTGTATAATACTTGTGAAGAAATGTTTAGTCTACACCGTTAAGTTTGGGGCACCATTTTAGATTTTATGTCTGTCATTTTTAAGCTGGGTATTGGGGAAAAGTGGAAGTGATGAAGCAATTGTTTGTACTTGTGTATAGGGTATTGTGAATTTCAGAAAAGATTTTAAGTTTTAAAACATCTGAAGGCTAAACTGATGTTCTGGCTGTACTTAAGATCTACTGAATAGAAACAAAATACATTGTATGCAAAAAGGATGGATTTGCATTGCTCCAAAAGAGTGCCGAGTCATTTTCATTTTTGGTTATTTAGGTTTTTAGTTCCAGTTTCTTTTCCTGGAGAGTTTTCTGTGACTTTCCATTTGCATCAGCTTAAAGAAACAATGGATAATATTCTCATCCAGTTTTATCAATTGTTGTAATTTATTTTATATTTTAATTATCCTGGATCATTTGATGTACCATGGTACATCATGGACCCAAGCAGACATCATTGCATAGCACACAGTTGGTAAGTAAGCACCAGAAGCCTTGTAACATGTTTTCATCTGTTATGTTTATAACAGTCTCTGTGTAATAAATCCAATCAACTCTGTTCACTGCCTGACGGGCCACTTATTCGCCTCGAGCAGAAGCACTCCCACATCGGTCGGAAAGAACCATGTTGGTTGGGAGCGTTCATTTTGTTGGTAGTGACTGCAACGCTTGTGTTTTCTAGTCATTTGGGAACCAGTGATGTGTAGTAAGTACCAAGGAAACCCCATTGCCGGGGAAATAGCACCCTCTCTTGGTCCAGCTTAAAGCCCATACAATTTTTACTCCACATTCTAGGGACTGGGTGTGACAGGGCTACTCTGACACAACAATTGTTATTAACTTCTTTATTTGTTTGCTTATTAAGTTTTGACCAGTAGTAGCTCTGTCATGTCTACCTTCTTTCAGTCTGTCATTGACTAGGGCTAATGATAAGGCTGAATGAAATCTGAACATTAGTACTTTTTTAATACAAATCATTCTCCTGTTTATGAGAGTTTATACATGTATGTAGTAAAATGAAACTATCTCCACCCACATCATCATCATTGCATCCTGTAATATATCTATAGCAGCAGGATTGTCTTCGCCTTGGATATCTGTCAAAGCTTAGGGGTGCATTTGCCCTTGAGGATATACAAACCTCGTAGACCCCACCACAACGTGCAATGGTTGTTTGTTATACCATAGTCATAGATTTTACAAATTCAAGAGAACAGAGTGAAAAACATTTTGCTGCAGAGCAATGCATTTCATTTCACTGAAATTATCTTCACCAACAAAGTGTTTAGTTGAGTAAATTAACTAAATTTTCCAGCAGGCTGTCTAATTCTGTCACAGGTAACATCTGTATCACAGTTGGTTCACCCTGGTCATGCCCATTGCAGTGCAAAGTCTACTGTGTTCAACTTACCTGAATCACCTACAAAATACATTATTTCCCTAATGCCAGTTAGCCATTCATTAAAATTTCATCAACTGCAGTGCGCCCTCGTCTGCCACAATGCAGTGTATCATTACCAGTATTGTAGGTCTCAAGACCATTTTTTCCTGGTCTCGGTACCCTGTGGTCTCTGTCTCGTTCCCCCATGGTTTCGGTATTTTGCATGCCAATACTAACCCACAGGTTGATTTCGTGTCTGGGAATGAGATAGCAAAATGCATAAACTACGCACTGTCTAATGAGGCAGCGATCAGCGCTTAGGATACGGACACCATTTTTCTTGATGCTCTTTCTTCACATGCATTGCTCTGATGATTATTGTGCCATTGTGATAAAATTCTGCCTCTGGGCTGTTTTTGACATTGCCACAAAACCTGACAAGTAATCAGAGATGTCATATAAATCTGCCGTTATACGCTTTGGCTTTTAAGACCTCAAGGAGTACATGGACAGCACATCTGGGGAAAAAACACTCAGCATTGCACAAATTCTGTCCTAGAATGAATCGGATTTCAGAGACATCGGAACAAGTTCAGCATTTATGAGGCACCTGAGCAGGGCTCAGAAAGCAAAGTAAGTATGTTTAGTTTTATTACTCAATCACTGAGTGTGTGAAAGGAACAGTTTAAGATTTTTATCAAAGCTGGTGAACATTTATTTCAATATAAAAACTGTAGGTAGTGAACAGTGGTCATGTGTGATTTTACTGATTTTGCACTTCCGTACTAAAACACCAATTTGTGACTTTTTTTCATGCTTTCCTCTTCTTAGATTTGGTCATCGCTTATCGAGTCTTATGCTACTGCCAGCTTTCCACCTTAACATGGTAATAAGCACTGTGACTCTCCATCTAGTGAGGAGGACGAGGTTCTGGCAAAAGTTCCTCATCTTCTTAATCTAGTAAAAATTCTCAAGATACAGAACAGGAGTGGACCGCAGCAGGATAGAGAAACAACTAGACTACAGCTGGCG